AGAGACAGAGACAGAGAGAGACAGACAGAGGCAGAAACAGAGACACACACAGAGACAGAGATAGAGACAGAGACAGAGACAAAGAGAGACGACAGTGAGAAAGAGACAGGGGCAGTAATAAATAAAACGGAAGAGAGACAGAAAGAAACACAGACAAAGACAAAGACAAACAGAGAGATACAAAGACAGAAACAAGAAGACAAAAAAAACAGACACACGCAACAGCCACATACAAACAAAATACGAATACAGGAAGCAGCAACGACGTGATTCCAAAGCAGCAGCAGCAACAACAGCAGCAACAGCAGCAGCAGCAGCAACAGCAGCAGCAGCAGCAACAACAGCAGCAGCAACAGCAGCAACAGCAGCAGCAACAGCAGCAACAGCAGCAACATACTTAACCAGTACAGTGGCGAACTGCAGGCCTGAGAGGCAGTCGATTGCAATGTCGATGTCAGTAGAAGGAATGCCGAGCAACTTATCCCGCACCCAACCACCTGCTGCTCGCAGCGCTGCAGCAGCAGCAGCAGCAACAGCAGCAGCAGCTTATCCATTCACGACGCAGCAATGCAATTAGAAGAAACAGAAGGAAAAACAGCAGCAGCTGCCGTTGCGACGGCACATGAGCAAGCAGAGATGCAGCAGCAGCTGCTGCAAGCGAACACAAAAGGCAGCAGCTACAGCAGCAGCAACAGCAACAGCTACAGCAGCAGCTACAGCAGCGACAGCAGCAGTAGTTGGCTCACCAACATTTAATTTATTTTCTTCTACGCATTTGTTGAGAAGAGAAAAGAGGTCCTCCTCCTCAGGCGTCAGCTGCAACTTCACGCCTGCTGCAACAGCAGCAGGAAGTCGTGCTGCTGCGGTTGCTGCAGCAGCAGCTGACTCATCTGCTGCTGCTGCAGCGACCTCCGTCTTCGCCGGTGTCTGAGAGTTCTCTCCAGCCATTGCCATTATCTTTTGAGAGAAGCTGTGCAAAGGATTGCGTCGGCCAGGAAGAGATGCAGCCGCTGCTGTTGCTGCTGTTGCTACTGTTGCTGCTGCTGCTGCTGCTGCAGCAGGAGGCGTTGCTGCCGGCGTTGCTGTTGCTGTAAGTATCCTTTGTTGCGCGTTTGTGAACCACGACCTAGGAGAGAGGAAAGACACAAAAGGCCCCCTGCGCATCCGCTGCTCCCAGCTGCTGCTGCTGCTGCTGCTGCTTGACAGCAGCGGGCCCGGCAGGAGGCTGAGGGGAGAGCGCCAGAGGCTCCTCTTTGCGTTAATTTGTTGATGCAGAGGGCCCCACTGCTGCTGCAGCGAGCAAGAAGCCGTTGCTGCTGGCAGTATAGCGGAAGACGCAGAGCTGCAGATACACCTCAGACGAGTGAACAGCAGCACAAAGAGAAGGGCTTGGGGCCTCATAGACAAATACAACATTAATTTTCTAGAAATGCTGCTGATGGTGCTACAGCAGAGCTTCAACCGACAACGCTAGGGGACGGCATCGAGTTGCTGCTGCTGCTGCTGCTGCTCACGAGCATGCTGCAGCAGCAGCGGCAGCTGAAGCAGCAACAATAGCAGCAGCAGCACACAAGGTGGACATGCAAGCTTTAAATTAAATGTTCACCTGCAACGCAATTATTAGTTATTCGTAAATTTTATTTTGCTCTAGCCGCAGGGCTAGGGGCCCCCCTCCCTCATGACTAGGGGGCCCCCTTTGCAGCAGCAGCAGCAGCAGCAGCACATGCTGCTGCAGCTGCTGCTGCTGCAGCAGAGCAGCAGAAGCACACCGACGTCTTTTTTTATATGATGAATTCTGCCTTTATACTGCAGCCATAGAGTGCTGCACATTACCAACAACAACAACAGCAGCAGCAGCTGTTGCTACGGCGACAGCTGGTGCAGCCGCAGTGTCGGCAGCAACAGCTGCTGCAGAAACTTGGAGCATCCCCGCAACGCCTGACTCAGCAGCAGCAGCAGCAGTAACAGCAGCAGCAGCAGCAGCAACGCTAGGGTTGTTGGTGAGGCCTCTCCAAGACCCCGATGGGTAACCCAGTCGGGGGCCCCTCCGCTGCTGCGGCTGAGGGCCCCCCAGCAGCAGTTGCAGCAGCAGAAGCAGCACCAACTACACCAGCAAATGCTGTTCCCCATGAGGCGTGGAATGCAAGCGGCCCGGTTGCTGCACCGCCAACAGCAACAGCAGCAGCAGCACCAACAGCAGCAGCACCAGCACTAGCAGTACCAGCAGCAACAACGGCAGCAACAACAGCAGCAGCAGAGATACCAGCGGCTTCTTCAGAACCAGTAGAGGCAGCACCACCAACAGCAGCAGCAGCTGCTGCAGCAGCGGCAGCTGCAGCAGTAGCAGCTGCAGCAGTTCCCGACGAGGCGTTTGTACCAGCAGCACCAGCCGTGGCAGCACCTCAGGCAGCAGCAGCAGCAACAGCAGCAGCAGCGGCAGCAGCAGCAAGCGTGCCAGCTGCTTCTGAAGACAACCCCGAAGGGTTTTTGCTGTTTGCTGTGGCGTGGCTGCTGGTAGCAGCAGCAGCAGGGCTGGTTCTGCTGCGGCAGCAGCGACAGCAGCAGCGCGAGAGGTAAACCCTCGTAAACCCTAAGCCCTAAGCCCCATGCTGCTCATGCTGATGCTGCTGCTGCTGCTGTCCCGTATGCTGGCGTGCTGCTGTTTTTGCTGCTGCAGCTTTTGCTGCTAATGCTACCATTTCTGCTTTTGCTGCTGCTGTTGTTGTTTCTGTTGTTGTTTGCTGCAGGCAATGCCGCTTGATGAGGGCCTTCTCTTAAGTCTTTCGCCAGAAGCTGTTTCATCTGCGCTGAGGGGCCCCCAGGGCCTCGGGGGGCCCCCAGAGGCCCCAGGGCCCCCTGGGGGCCCCTGAGGGCCCTTGCCAATCTATTAGGGGCCCCTGGAGATGCCTTGGAGGCGCTGCACCCCTAGACAAGGTTGAGCAGCAAGGGTTTAGGGTTTAGGGTTGAGGGTTTAGGGTTTGTAAGGAGTAAGGTTCCTAGATAACCCAACTTTTTTAAGAAAAACAAAACTATATCAATTCTTTCGGTGACAAAGAACGGGCTTCAGGGTTTAGGGTTTAGGGTTTAGGGTTTAGAGGCCTCGGCACCTTTGCCCAGCGGAACAGCAGTTTGCTGATGGACCCACCCGCAGCAGCAGCAGCCGTTGCTGCTGCTGTTGCTGCTGCATTTGTTGCTGTTGCTGCTGCTGCTGTTGCTGTTGTTGCTGCTGCTGCACCGTTGCCAGCGTCTCTATATTGCCGCAAGGCGAGCTGCAGCGGCAGCAGCAGCAGCGGCTGCAACAGCAGCAGCAGCAGCAGCGGCCCCCTTTCTGCTGCCTCCGGAGGCCCCTCGGCTCGGAGAGACACCGTCGGGGGCCCCCCACAGCATTTGAGGGGGGCCCTTCTTCTTTTGTTCTTCTCAGTAGATTTGCTGCTGCATTATTTGTTGTTTTCTTGTCTTTCCTATCTAAAAGGGCCTCACCCAGCGCATTGGGGGGGCCCCTTAAGTAGCTATTAGGGGGGCCCCAGGGGGCCCCCAAGGGGCCCCTCGGGGCCCCTGCAGTGGTCTGGGTGTCCGTACCCTCTGGGGGCCCCCTATGCATTGTTTGCTGCTGCGCTGTTTTAGGGGGGGGCCCCCCAACCCCTTCGCGGCTGAGACAGACAAAATTAAGAGATGCCAGAGGAGGGGGGCCTCTTGCCCTTGTGGACGTCGTACGCCTGGCTGTTGCTGCTGCTGTTGCTGCTGCTGTTGCTGCTGTTGTTGTTGCTGCTGCAGCTGCTGGCGCTCTGAGTATTTTTAATCTGAGGGGAGGCGCTGCTTTGCGTTCTGCGTGCGGTGTTAGCATTGCTGCGTTATGTGCTGCTGCTGCTGCTGCTGTGCTTTTGGGTGGTGTTGCTGCTTTTGTTGCTGCTGCTTTCCGTGCTTCTGCTGCTGCGTACGCCTTTGCTGCTGCTGCTGCTGCTGCCTTTTCAAGCTTTTGCGTTGCAGTAGATGTTGGTCGAGCAACTGCTGCCGTTCCTTTTGGCGCCGTTGTTGCTGCTGCTGCTGCTGCTGCACGGGGTGCTGTTCTAGCTGTTGCGGTTTCCTTCGCTGCTGCGCTTGTTGCTGCTGCAGCTGTGCCATTGGGAGCTGCTGCTGCAGAAGTCCTGCTGCTGCTGCTGCTGCTGCTGTTGCCGCTGATGTTTCTGCGAGGCTTTTGAAGACAGAAGGGCCTGCAGCAAGAGACAAACAAAACAAAGCGGCCCCACAGCTTCAGAGTCTTGCTGCTGCTTTGCAACTGCGGCAGTGCTGCTGCTTTGCTGCTGGGGGCCCCTCTACGCACCCTAAGCGACTCGCCAGAGCAGCAAAACGGAGTGTCTGCAGGGTGGGCCCCCGATCTTCTTCTTTGCTGCTAACAGTGAACACCAAAGACACGTGGCCGCACCCGTCCTGCAGCAGCAGCAGCAGCAGCAGCAGCAGCACACGCCGAAGTACGCTCAGCAGAGGCATGCACCTCAGCAGCAACATGAATGAACAGCTGCAACACAAGCACCATCGACAGCAGCAAGGCCAGCAGCAGCAATATTAGCAGCAACAGCAGCAGCAGCGTAAAGGCGATTTGATACCCATACTGAGGCCTCCGTGCTGCTTGGGGGGCTCCAGGCCCCTTGGGGAGCAGCATCAGCAGCAGCAGCAGCACGAACAGCAGCAGCAGCAGATTGTGGTGTGCTTCCCCTCACCAAGACATCTTTAAGGGCAACGGTCAGGCAGGACTCTCGAAAGCGAACGTGGGGGCCCCTTGGGGCCCTAACTCTTCTTGAAGGGGGGCCCCCCGCTGCTGCATCAGGAGGTTTGCTGCAGCTGTTGGATTGAGTTGGGGGGCGTGTTGCAGCAAGACCCCCCTTGTTGGGGGCCCCCGTTAGGTTGGTGTCCTCAAGTCTGCCAGCTGGGGGGCCCCCGTGCAGCAGCAGCGAGAGGGGCCCCCCTGGGGGGCCCCCTGGGGTCCCCCTGTTCTTACGTCTTGCAGCTGCGCAGTGTATGGCGAGGGCGGTGAGGACGGCCATGAAGGCAGACAAACTTTTGCTGATGGAGGCAGCCTGAAGAGACACCCCAGAAGAAGGAGGAGGCAAAGAGAGGGAGAAGCAAAGAGAGACAGAGACAGAGAGACAGAGACAGAGACATAGAGAAACGCAAAGACATAATCTACTTGCTGATGAAGGCAGGGTGAGGAGACACCCCAAAGCAGCAGAGAGACAGAGAGACAAAGAGAAGAAGAGACAAAAACTATACACAGAACAATAGCCATTGGTTGCCAGCAGCACACTCAAGGAAGGGCCCTCTAGAAGCCCCCAGAAGGCCCCCCAAAAGAGCACCCAAAGGGCCCCCAAAGGGCCCCCAAGAGGCCCCCTGTTTTGCCTTTTAGGGCCCCCAGCCGGAGTGCCCCTGTGTTATTGTTTGCTGGAGTGACGTTAGTAGGTGGGGAGAGGAGACAGTTAGAGCAGAGGGAGGAGACAGGCTTCATACTGCTGCCTAGCTAACCTCTTGTGCAAAGAGGGCCCCCGACTGCTCCTTCAGGTGAGGGTATAGGGGGGCCCCAACTTCAGGGGGCCCCCAGCGCTCCATAGGCTGCCGCTCAGCTCCTGCGAGGTCTACCAGGTAGAGGCAGGGGCCCTTTTCCTTTGCTTCCTGTGCAGCAGCAGCAACAGCAGCAGCAGTACTAACAGCGCTCCTTGTCAGTTAGGGGGCCCTGTTGGTGTATGGGAGGAGAGTTTGAAGTAGAGACAGCAGGGGCCTCACTGGGGGGTTTAGAGACAGACACAGCAGCACGTGGCTGCGGCTGCTGCTGCTGTTTGCATGCGTCTGGCGGCACACTCTCCTGCTAAGGGCCTTTGCTGCAGCAGCAACCACCTCCTTTGAGCATCCTACTCTTACGCAAATGCCCTCGGGGGCTCCAGGGGCCCCCTGAATGCTGCTGGGGGCCCCGCGCGGCTGCAGCTGTCTCTCCAGTGTCTGCAGCAACCAACCAGCAGCAGCACTTCGGTGAACAAACATCTTACTAAAGCTAGAGACAATGACCCCCTGAAACGGATGGGGGCCCCCTAGAACATATGGGGGCCCCCTGAAGCAGATAGCACCCCGTAAAGCAGATGGGGGCCTCCTGCAGCAGATTCGGCCCCCTACAGCATATGGGGCCCCCTACAGCACTTGGGGGCCCCCCGATTAAGATGGGGCCCCCTAGAGCATATGGGGAGGAGATGAATCAGAGGGAAGCCCTCCTAGTGGAGGGGGGGGGGCCCCTTGCCTTCAGCAGGGTGGTGTATCTTTCCTTTGTTACCTGAGCATTTGCTGCAGCAGTTTGAGGTTCGCCTCGTGGGGGCCCCAAGAGATCTCTTACTTTGCCGCAGTACATCTCAACAGCAGAAAAAGAAACAAAGGCAGCAGGGCTGCGGTGCAGCAGCAAACAAACTTAGAAAGAAAGAGTTGTTGGGGGCACCCCGTGCAGCAGCAAACAAACTCAGAGAGAGGGAGTTGAGGGGCCCCCCAGTGCAGCAGCAAACCAACAAAAGAAACAACAGCTGGGGGCCCCTGCAGCAACAAACAACAAAGACTCACCTCTGAAGGGGCCCCTCTTTGACCCGACCTTCCAACTCCTCCATCACAAACTCAAGAGTCCGCAAAGCAAGACCCCACTTCTCCTTGCTGCTGCTGCTGCTGCTGCCGCTGCTCCTGCTGCTGCTGCTGCTGCTGCTGCTGGGTCTCTGTGTTAGGAATCCTGCGGGCCCGACCATGGTGTACGTCTTGCCGCTCCCCGAGGCCCCATGCCTGTCTCGCAAGACACCGCAGGCCTTGAGGCGCCTAAGCGCTAAACCCTAAACCCTAACCCCTAGATCCTAAACCCTAAACCCTATCCCCAGCTCACACAGCAATGCATGCGCTGACGCCTCTAAGCACTGCTTCTGCTGCTGGCCTTCCAACTGTTTTAAAGAGACTCTCTTGAGATGAATCTTCCTCAAATACACCGTCAAACCGAAAGGGCCCCACGCAGCCCTTGTCTCCCAAGCAACAACTCATCAACCCTACAGAACGACCCCCATGGGGCCCCACAGGGGGCCCCTCAAGGGGCCCCCCAGGGGCCCCCACGAGGGGCCTCTCAATAGCCCCCCCAGGGGACCCCACGAGGGGCCTCTCACGAAGTCTCTCAGGGGTCCCCACAGGGGGCCCTTTGGAGGGCCCCGCACAGCTCTTCAAATATATCTGTTGTTGCCTCGCTGCTGCCTCTTTCGGGACCTCTGGGGGGCGGCTTTGCTCTGAATAAAGGCACTCCGGTGCGTTGAGGGTGCGGCTGTAAGGAAGGTCTTTAGGGTTCAATGGGGGCCCCCAGCCTTTCTTAGCAGATGCGTTAGCGCTTTGCTGCGCAGCAGGGGCCCGGGTCCCCCCGCCAGGAGGCAGCAGCACAACTGCAGCAGGTCGCTGCACCCGGAGGGGGGTTGAACTGGAGACAGGGGCTGATTGAGGTTTAAGGTAGGGGCCCTCTCCGTCCTGCTGCAATGAAGAGGTCTGGGCCCTGCTTCTGCCAGCAGCAAGAGAGAGCAGGCCCCTGAGACCTTGCTGCTGCTCACCATTGCAACCTGCAGCAAAAGAGACGGGGGCCCCCAAAGCACCTTCAGGCGTCGGGGGTTCCTTTGCTGCCGTACCCTCTGGGGCTTCAGTATTCAATAAAGGCTCCGTGGGGGGCCCCTCTGGGCAGGGCCCCCCTGCGTAGGGCCCCTTTAAGGGGGGGCCCCCGGGGCCCCCAGACTCCTTTTTGACGGAGTTAGGGTTACGGCTCCACAGTGCCAGGCAGCGAGTAGTTGGGGGGCCCCCTGAAGAGGGAGAAGAGGAGGGGCGAATGCGTAAGAAGGTTTGAACTCCTGTGTAGCAGGCAGCAAGCGAGGGGCCCTCGGATAGTTGTGAGGGGCCCCTAGAGGGTTTGTTTGGAGACGTAAAACCCATAGGGGGCCCCTAAGACCCCCTTATCTTGTTGTGAGTGCAGGAAGACAACGAAGGCGCGCCCAGCAGCAACGGCGCGAGTAGCCGCCGTTGCTGCTGCTGTTGCTGCTGCTGCTGGTGACGCTGCACAGCAGCAAATAGGGGGTCTGAGCAATGACAAATGCTGCTCTTTTCAGAACAAAGTAGTAATAAACAAATTGAAATACGTTGACAACAAATTGAAGGGCCCCCAGGGGCCCCCTTCGCCTCAGCCCCCGGCATCCGCAAGCCGTTGTTATGGGTGGGGGCAGCCATCAGGCCGACAGCACCAATAAAACGTTTGAAGCTTTGAATTTAATTAATAAAATATTTAATTTAATTATTAATTTAATCTTTTTAAATATATTAAATTGTCTTAACAGCCTATTTCAAGCTCCTTCCCGCCCTCGCCTCCTACTGGCCACTTGTGCCGAAGGTGACCACCGGGCCAGTGGCCTGTGGGGGAGGGAACGTCCGAGTCGTTAGCATCAATTTATTATTTTTTGTTTTTTCTTCTATTTAAGTCGTTGTTTTAATTAATAAACAGACGCAGTAACGACAACAAAGGAGGCCCCAAGGCCAGAGCCAGCAAATACGTTGTTTCCTGTTGGCCGCAGTATCTTCCTCAAAATATAATTATTATTTTGCGGCCTTCAAAAGAAAGAAAGACTGCAGCGCCTGACGCATAAGAAGGTCTTTAAATGCATCGGGGTGTATATTATTCTGGTTTAGGGTTTAAGGCTGTACAGAATAAGAGCACTAGGAATTAGGATTGAAGAGGCTGATGTGGGGCCCCCATAGGGGCCCCCCTGGGGGCCCCCTCTGTCTGTTTATATGTTTATTGCAGCAGCATGCAATGAGGCTGCTGCTTCTCTGTATGCGTTTAAAAGGCGAATCTACTGGGCTTTCGCTGCGCGAAGGAACTGCAGCAAAAAGACACGCAAGACACGGGAGCAGACAGCGGGGCTCAGGCAGCAAAAAGCAGGCCTCTGCAGCAGCAGCAGCAGCAGAAGCAGCAGAAGCATATCAACAGAAAGAAGCTGTCCTCTTACTTCGATGTCTTTTAAGGCACTAGGGAGAAGAGAAACCCCACCAAGAACGGACATCAAAGCCAGATAATTAAAAACACAAGACCAGCTGCAGCACAAACAGGAAAAGTAGCACAAACAAAACGAACAGCGCATGCAACGCAAACAATGCTAATACTAGTCGCAATACAAACAGTATCTGCAGCAGCAACAGCGCAGGTACAGCGATGCGCAGCTGCTCGCGGCACTCGCACGCCCTGCTGCAGCAGCAGCAGCTGCAGCTGCTGCTCCAGCACATCCGCTGCACGGGGCTACCCTTATTTATGCTGCGCCTCCTCACCCATATGCAGAAAGAAGAGTTGGCGTCAGGAGGCCTTGCAGTATCGAACCAACACTGCCAGCCCCGTTCACTATACCTGCAGCAGCAACACATAGCAGCAGCAACAGCAGCAGATAGCAGCTACAGCAGCAGCAGCAGCAACAGCAGCGGCACTGCTACTGTTCTATTGGGGGCATTGCTGCTGCTCATCCCCGTTCGTGTTGCTGCTGCGGGTGTCTGCGTATTGATGTCTTATTGTCTTGATCTCTGCCTTCGTCTCTCTCCCTTTCTTTGCCTCTCTTTCTTTTACTTTTGTCTTCGTTTTTCGTGCTGTATATATCTGTATTTGTCTTTGTCTTTGCCAGCATGTGCTTGCGTCTAGGTTGAGGGTTTAGGGCTTAGGGTTTGTGATGTGTTGAGACAAGTGTAGGGTTTTGCTGCTGCACGGACATGATGCTGCTGCAGCAAATGTTTCGTTTTGTGTCTCTTTCTCCTCTGCGCATGCATCTGCTGCTGCTGCTGCTCCCAGGGCAGAGTCCGGTGCTGCTATCGCAGCTCCCGCCAGCAGCAGCGCGAATTGAGCAGCAAACCCTAAATCTCCTGTGGGGCCCCACAGCAACGAGGAGTGCAGCAGCACAAGGAAGGCCCCCGCCAGCCAGCACATCGGAGCCAGCAGCAAACTGCGACGGCCCCTCAAGTATTTGTCTGATAACCACCTGAAACAAACAAACCCTAAACCCTAAACCCTAAACCCTAAACTTCAAACCCTTACCTTTAAACCCTAAAGCCGCCACTCACCCACATCAACCGCAAAACCAAAACCCTAAACCCTAAACCCTAAACCCTAAACCGCCGTGGAGGCATTGGCCACTTACCCCACGGAGACGGATCCGAAGACGCCACCCGCATCGAAGTATGTGCAGTAGAATGCTGCAGAGAGAGAGAACAGGACAGACCCCTAAACCCTAAACCCTAAACCCTAAAACCCTAAACCCTAAACTGTAGACCTCGATCCATATGCTGCAGCATAAACCTCAAAGCTTGTATTGCAAGCTAAACCCTAAACCCTCGTTGTTCTCGGGTATGCGCAGTGTTCTGCATGCCTCTCACCTGCTGCTGCAGCACTGAGGCCCCCGTGCTGCTCCAAATAGTAAGCCAGCCAATATAACAGAGCGTACCGCACCAACTTAACACAGAAATAAGCCCCGCACAATCTTCTAAATCTACCGATACCTATCACTCTCACCAGTAACGAGTTGTGCTGCTGCTGCTGCTGCTGCTGCTGCTGCTGCTGCTTGGGCTGCTGCTTCTGGTTCTGCTGCTGCTGCTTGGCTGCAGCAGCTGCTTCTGGGTCTTGTGGCGCACTCCGGAGGCAGCGCAGCAGCAAGACGGAGCAGCAGAAAACCCAGAGAGCAGAGACGAAGAACGTCTGTCTCCAGCGGGAGAGCCCTTTAGTGTGCGGCCCCCAAAGAGAGATATTACTTAATAGAGCTGAAGGGCCCTCAGCAGCACCAGACAACAACTCTGCTGTTAAATAACTTGCAAAGATACTCCCCACCTGCTGACAAGTTGTCCATACACCTGAACGCACAAAAACAAACAGAACAAGACATAAACAAAACTTCGCATGCATAAAGACGCTCCTAACGCTGCTGCTGCTGCTGCTGCTTGTGCAGGTGGTAATGGTCATGTTGCTGCTGTTGCTGCTGCTGCGTGCATGCATACCAAGTACTCCCCCTCTTTCAGTGTTGGAGAGCCAGGAAGAGAGGGAGGAGACGAGGAGAGGGAAGGCGAGGGCCTGTGCAGCTCCATTGAGACCCCAAAGAAGAGACAGCAGCATAAGAGACAGAGAGGCATCTGGTAGCAAAGAAATCAGCAAGCAGCAGCAAGCACTAACGCAATACGCTGCTGCTAATATGCGCGAGCTGCAGCAGCGGCCCCCACCAGCACCTAACAGCGCTGGAGCTAGCAGCAGCTGAGAAGCTGCATAAGCAGACAGAAAGACACTGTCTACCCCTCCTAAAGCAGCAGTACTGAAGCCCAGCTGCACCTCCAATTCGCGCTTGCAAGAAGCAAACGGCTTCCTAGTTAAGTACAGAGATGCATAACAAAAGTATGTTAGCAGCAGCTGACCCAGCTTCCCCTCAGACAAACGCCCGCTGCTGCCGCTGCTGCTGCTGCTGCTGCTGCTTCTGTTGATGTTGCTGCTACGGGAACGGATGCCACCTAATGCCAGTGCCTCCTCTGCAGCTTCCATCTGCTGATCGGCTCCTGAACCTTGAGCCCTGGCTTGTCTGTTGCTGACGCTTCCGTTGCTGCTGCTGCTGCTGCTTTGTCTCGTTAGTTCTGCTGCCGCTGCTGCCGCTCCCCCTCTGCGCCTCCTAGTGGTGGGGGTTAGGCGAGCTGCTGCTGCAAAGCCTTCATCTGCATTTTCTGTTTCTTTTTCCTCCGAGTCGCTCATGCCGCTCATTTGCCTCACAAAGGGGAGGGGCCCCGTCTGCAGCCTCTCCTTCAGGGGTCCCCCCTTGTATAGGGGCCTCTCTGCAGCGGCTCTTCTGCCTACTGCTGCTGCGCTGGTGGCCGGCAGCACCTCCGCTTTGCTTGCAATGTGCACGCGAGGGCTTGCTACTGCTGCTGCAGCAGCAGCACGAGGAGACGCCGCTGGAGAAGCAAAGTTCCTCTCTGATCTGTGTGCTGCAGCAGCCTTGGCTGCTGCTGGTGAGGCGCCCCCAACCCGCTTCTTCCGCGAAGGGGCCCTTTGCTGCGCTGCTGCCTTCAGCGGGCTTCGACCCTTCGGGGCCCCTGCTGTTGCATCTGCTGCTGCACCTGGTGCTGCAGGAGAAGCTCCTTGCGGAGCTGCTGGGGAGGTGACGGTACCCTGCCTTGTAACGACCATTTTTGCTGCCGCTGCTGCTGCTGCTGCTGCTGTCGCTGTCGGTGCAGGCTGCTACAAGCAGGCAGACAGGCTTTGAGCGCGCTGCAAGTTGGTGCGTTTCGCTGCTCTTCTTGCATGCACCAACACGAAGAAATGTTTTAAAAGGAATAAGCAAATATCAATCCCTCTTATGCACAAACCCCTCACCTCTTGGTGGGATGGGCGGATGCACAGGGGCTGGGGCCCCCCAGTCGGCGACAGCAAACGCGTTGAAGGCACCGAAATAATAAATTTTGTGTAATTCCTTCCTATTTACTTATTATAATAAATGTATTATATGTTAATGTTTAATAATGTTTACACTCGCTGTAGGGGGGCAGCCAACTGCAGCACCACCTGCTCTCTACACCGCTGCAGCTACAACAAGCAACAGAAGAGCCCGCTGAGACGCAGTATAAACTGAAGCTCTTCTAAAAGCTGCAGCAAACATAAACCCTAAACCCTAGCCCCTAGACCCTTAAACTAAACCCTTGCTAAGCAGCTGCTGCTATGGAGACCATCATGTGGCATGTCGAGGCCGAGACTGCAACGCTCACACGGCTACAGCAACAGTAGCAGCAGCAGCAATTGCTGCTGCTGCTGCTGCTGCTGCAGTTTTTCAGTTCCTTCTTACCAGGTGCTGCGCATCAGCAGCACTTGGGAGGGAAACATTGAGCTATTTTACGCAACGATGTGTTAGAGATATCTCCTTCATCTGGAGACGGCTACTTTTGTCTTGTTGTGTAGTTCTAGGAAAGTGAAGGACCACAAAGTGGAAGCTACCCATGGAGTATGTGCATGTGGGGCTGTTTCTCTCTGTGCGTAGCCGTACTTATGCGTATATCTAACGAGAGTTCGTATACCTTCGTGTCCTAAGGCCATCACGAAATGCAGTGGAACCAAACAAAGATACAGAAGAAGTTTCTAAAAAGTAGCCGATAGCCTCTTCTTCAGTACCCAGACGTTATGGGCACAGCGGCCCAAGGGCCTGTGGCTGGGGGGAGATATCGGCGGAAGATGATATGCAACGTACATCGTTGTAACGAATGCTAAAAGGCGCATTCACCTGTAACCACACCGAAACTACCGCTTCTGCCTGCACTAACATGCACGCTGCCTACTATGGCAGAGTATAACTGTTCACCGTTCACCTTCCGACAGATCAGGCTAGACCTCGCCTCCCGTCTCCCTTCTCCTGCCAACAGTGCACTCCCTCGTATGCTTACTCGCACATAAATGTTGCATCGTTTTCTTGATTTGTTCCTTCTTCTTCTTCTCATTTGAAGCCTCCTCCAGCTGCACATCTTAGTCGTGTTTCTCTTGTCCCGCAGCGCCTGGGCCTTCATGATATGTCGCATGTTAGCAGACTAGCCATAAAACCATATTGTTGAGCACTCACGGTAAGTCTGTCCTACAAGTATGTTTTCTTAGTCATGCATCACCAGCTTGACAGGCTTCTAGTTCAACCACTGCCTTTAGCTATTCCACCTTATTCTCTTCTTCCTCGCAGTCGACCGCACGCCCATCCTTCGTGCAGCACCTGTGATAAAATCCACTCAGTACTGCTCAGTACTGGTTCCCCAAAACCCTTTAGATGCTCAGTAGTGCATCTAAAGGGTTTTGGGGAACCTGGGGATCTCAGGGACCACAGAGACTAGACCTCACCCTCGCCAGCGGCAGCACAAAACGCTAGGGGGTAGCTCTATAGATCTCAACGCCTCGCTCTTCGCGACTTGGGCCGCCGAAGGCGACCCAACCGCAAACCAGCTTTCAATGGTGAGTTTAGACGGGGTCCCGTGCCTGCTCACACGAAGGGGTGGCAAAGGATTGGAGCGCTGCGGTGAACAGCGCGCTTGCAGGAATCTCACTAATGAGCGGGCCCGCCGTGTATTTGCTTACATTAAATTAGATTATTGAAAAATGCCTTTCACAAACCAAATGCTTCGTTAAATCCGATTGGCTGCGTGCCAGATTCACCCAGCACATACCTGTTTGAAACCTCCGTGGGTCCCACCACAGATTATCTCGGCCAGCCGAGCAACCCCTGTCCTCCGTAAATAGCAAAGCCAAAAACCGCTCAGGCCTAATTTGTACACTTCGTATGTACGAAAACCAACTCAGGACCAAAGCGGTAGTAAGAGTTACCCAAAGGCGATATCCCAAGTTCCTTGAAACGAGTACTGTCGTTTCTTGAAAGAAACGACAGTACTCGATCTTATGCGCTGACCACTGTGAGCTGCAATACAGTCAAAATAACCAAGGTAATAGCCAAAACCACCAAAAGCAACTCCAGTCCTTTCCAGTCCGTAGGCACCCTCGCCTAAACACCCCAATGGAGGAAAGGTAGAACTTGGTTTTCTTCTGTTCTGCCCAACCGTTAGACACGGGCATGTAGACGGAGGCCTGTTCTTCTTCTGTCACCTCCAGTTGTTGAGCATCCGTAGGGGCTTCTGCTTGGTCATCTTCCCCATTCTGCAATCTTTTCCTGGAGATATTGAGAAGGAGGCCCTATATACAATTCAATGCTGGTGGTTCGTCTGCTTTTTTTGCGTCTCTTGTCTTGCTTATTAGGCTTTTTCCGAGATTCAAAGATGTCGACTGGTGCGCCTTTCCTGTTCTTACGGCTTCCATCCATGCATGCTTGCGTCCGGTGTGGGTGGGAGAGTCCGTGATGATATTGTTAAGAAAAGCCTTCAGCATGCTTTTGGTCCCAAAAAGCAAACTGGAGTTGCGTTTAACACTGCATCGACCAAGACGACGAATAGCAGATAGCAGCTTTGGTGATACGCTGAATGTTGTCATGCACCACCTGCCTCTTTCTCTGCTCCTCTCTTGCGAACCCCGCTATCTCATTTGCAGCATCCCGAGATGTTCAAGGTGGTTGCAGCAGAATAACAACATGCAGCAAAACAACTACGATGCAGGGCTAGAGGGGGCTGTAAATAGCGGCTATAAGACAACTCACACAGTATGAACGCCCTACGCAGAGTGGAAGCCCACAAATAGCTGCTCAATCACTGAAATGACTCTTCCCCCTAGTGGTGCTTTCATGAATACCTGGGTACCCGAGCGCTCGATTCTCCTGACGTTGTTTACCAGCTTCGCCTGACCAAAAGTCTAAGTCGGCCTGACGCTTCACGGACGGCAACTCGGGCAACGAATTCTAGCCCAAGTCCATCCTGCATGCACTCGTAGAATATGCTGAACTGTAGTAGCCCTTGAGTATACCTAGCAATAGCCGCCGTCCCGTAATGCCCAGATGAGAGATGCTGACGCACTAGAAGTTAAAGCTAAGGCCGTGTTCAGCCTAGAAATCAATTGTTTATCTGCGTAGCTACAAGTCTCCGCACTAAACCCGTTGCCTACAGTAAAGAAAGTCGTCATGAGTAAAATGCCTCCTGCTAGTCTTCGGGCACTAGCTTGTTGTCGGAAAACAGCAGACACTGAGGCAACATCCA